TCATGCCTGACCCTGGACCAATCCAAGCTGTGGCTGTCCTAAGAGCTTGAGCAGTGCAGTCAGCAGTTAGACCAAGGGTTAGATAGGGTCTAGCCACAGCCCTATCTGCTCCAACAGGGACGAAGTGCAATGAAGCTAATGGGCTGGCTCAGAGCGGGATGGCTCAGGGGTGTCGCACACCAGTCAGCTGGACCCCAGGTCATGCACCACCAGCCCCAGGGGTAGACGCTCCAGCCAGCAAGTTGGGACTGCCCATAGGGGCAGCCAGCACCTGGACATGGGTATGTATGTAAGAGCAAAAGAGAGACACACACACACACACCTGGAGAGTGCGTGTGTAAGCAAGATGCAAGACAGACACACATACTACTAGTGAAGTGAGAAAAAAAAAGTGTGTGCACGTGTGCCCATGTGCATGTGCTCCAGCTCCCACCCGGCCTGCCTGCTTGGCTGGCACCGGTGGGGCACGGGCACCCTGCGGAGGTAGGCGTTTGCATAGAGCCATGGCTGCCGCACCACCTCCATGGTTTCAAGCCACTTGCCCTGCGGTGTGGGTCCCCCCGTGCCCACAGCCTGCTCAGGCCACCCCACCCTGCTGGGCAAGGCTGTAACACGGGAGCCTGGGCCTCCTGGGTGGCCTCTTGTAGGAGGATTAAAATCCAACCCAGGCCTTGTTGTTGTTTTCATTTTACCTCCATCTAATGACCTTTGTCTCGGTGCTGGGCCCTAACGACTATAATTTGATAATTACTGGGTGTGTGGAATGCAAGCATGCCTGCTGTCCCGGCCCAGCCGGCCAGTTGTCAGGGCAGGGCAGCACGGTGCACCCTGCGGCCTTGCCCCTGTCTGCGTATCAATGCTGCCCCGTGCCCCAGGTCCCTGCACTCCCACCTGCGCTGTGTCACACACCCTCATGCCGACACACGGCCAGGCACAGGCCAGGACTAGGACATCGCCCAGGAACCAGCAGTGCTGTGCTCAGGATGTTTACAGCAGCAATTCAATGCTCAGCAGCTGCCAGCATGAACCAGTACGTGTGTGTGTGTGTGTGTTCATGCACGCACATGTGCATGTCTGCATGTGCATGTTTGCAGGCCTGCTCACTTAAGCATGTGAGAGTGTGTGTGTGTGTGTGTGTGTGTGTGTGTGTGTGTGTGCACACTAACACATTGCAGCTTTACAGGCCTGCTTCCTTAAAAATGCATGTGTTCATGTGTGCACACACACGTGTGCATGCATCAGTGTGTGTGCACACAAATATATGCATGTGTGCATTGCTTGTGTGTGTGTGCGCACGCGTGCGCACATGCATGCACTTGCACATAGAGGTTCCTCCTCTTGCCGGGGTGAAAGAATGAGTTATCAATGAAGGGCAGACAAGAAAGGAAAAAAAAATGAAATACAGTAACAATAAAATGAACCGAAGGGCTATGTTCCCCAAGGACAGACTGAGTGCCCTTCGGCTTAGCATTATCCACACCCTCCTCCTTCCCGACAGTGGCTCCAACGAGCGCTGGCTTTCCGGGCTCAGCCGCCTGGGGCTGCACGCGCCGCCTAAACAACTGAACAGCTGATGTGCGGGATGCCGGCTCCTGCCCCAGCCCTGGGACGGTGGGGGTAAGGGCAGCAGTGAGCCAGCACCAAAGCTGGAAGGCACACCCGTAAGCCATGAGACTGCTGAGGCTGCCATCATGCATCTAAAATTATCTATTGAATTGGCTAAAGCCAACGTGGCATAGTTTTACCTTATGCTTCCAATAGCCGGTGCCTGTCGGTCTGGTCTCGGTTTTTCCCACGGTGGCGTGGACAGTCCTGTATTTATGAAGCCCCGGGGAGCTAACTTAGCAGTACCTGCAGTGCGTTTCCCCCCACCCCGTGCACACCTGCACCTTCCCCCTCCCTTGCACAACCAAGCCGAGTGAACAGGACCCACCCCCCATCCCAATATTAAATGCATTTCCTAGCACAGCCCTGCAATGGCAAGGGCCCCCACTTCCACATCACTTGTCAAGCCTGCATCGTGCCCAGAGGTGCAATGCAAGGCAACGAGCCATGGTAGGCTAGCCATGGTGGCCATTAATGCGCCAGTGTCTACTGGACCCTTGTCATCCATCCCATTGCCGACCCAAGATCTTATTTTTCCTTTGGCCCCAGCACGCTTTGCTTCGCCTACAAAAATCTGCTTTAACCAGAGCATTATTAGCGCCTCTACAATGGACCTGGCAGACTGAAGCATGACAGTCTCCATGGAGGACCTCAATGAAGCAACCACGCAACAGGCTTCAGCCGTGCGGCCCCCAGGCCTTTAAAACAAGCGGAAACTCAACTGGCCGGCGTCACGTCTACCGCGGCATCACGCACACTGGGGCCACGTGAGGCTTCCCCATGCTGGGGGCTGCTGAGGCCTTGTCAAGAGCAGGAAGGGGCTTTACGGGCTCTTACTGCAGCATCAGTCTGTGGCTGAATGAAAACGCACCTTTAAAACTCGCCCTTACACACAATTAAACACAACAATTAAATTTAAGAAAAGAAAGCTGGCGTGCACAGGTTGGAAAGCAGAGCTGCAGCTCAGCCCCCTGCAGAGCTTGCACAAGGAAAGGGGAGGTCTGGTGTTCATAAACGTGACCTCTCTTTCTCATCAGCACCTTCAGAAAGGTTATCGTCAAGGCAAATTAATTGCAAAGGGCGACAGATCGTCAGGACCAGGGAAAGGGCAGAAGACACCGCTGCTGCATAGGAAGAGCTACGGCCAGCCCAGGCCTGCCTGGTTGGGCTTATACAAACATTTTCATTCCTG